CAGGAATTCTCTTTTTCGAATATTGTCGGATAAAAAATGACATTGAAGAAGCGAATGAAGGCAGAAATCTGTTCTGGTTGTTCGAAAATGTCGCGCCAATAATAATAGTAATTGACATTTTTTATTATTATTATTCTTCAGGCAATTGCGTACAACAATCGATAACTGCGATACAATCAGAAAATTGGATAATCCTCCACCATTTATTTATTTAGCTTTAGATCCATTAGCTTTTCACCCGGTGAATCCCGCATAATGTGATTATACAAAATCGAATAATTGAATAATAATCAGTTAATGAATTAGTACTATTATTGCTTTATTGCTTAATCTATTGCTTTATGATAATGTGTCATTTTATTTACCCATGAAAAGTGCCCACATATGATTGGACAACTCTCACTATTGCCCGGGCAATTACAATTTTCTGTAATCCTCGTTTTTTGTGCGATTAATCTCTCAGTTTTTTCTGAACAATCCAAGTATTTTTCGTCAATTAGCCCCACATACATCCAATTTTTTATTATTAATTCAAATCTTTGAAATTGTTATGGATTTTTTAAATACTGTAATGAATGTATTTTAATGAATCCACATGTGTTGCCAAATTCGCAGTCATTCCTCCGGACGTAGCGTTTGGTTTTGAAATTTACGACTGATAAATATTAAAGACTTTATATAGTTATTAAAGATTATTTTAATGAAGAAATAGAAAAAATGAGTGCATTGTGCGCAGTAAAAAAGTGTTGAGAGCCATTAAATTAAAAAACTAATGCAATTGAAATTGAAAAATCATTCTCCAATTGTTTAATACATTTTTATTTTACACTGTATTATATCTAGTAAATAGTCTATATATAGTACACTTGAAACGATGTTCGTTGCAAAATCTACGCCCTGGCTCATTCTATTGGTCTTGTCGATTCTTACATACTTCCTAATGAAAAATAAAATACCGGGAATTATAGCTACCGTTTCAGCTCCTTTCAAATGGATATCATCGTTTTTTTCAAAATAATTTATCACCCAATTTACTAATTTACCCAATTCACCAAATTCATTACACCTAATGGAAAAATGTAGCCATCATAATTAAGAGACTAACTAACTAACTAACTTCATAGGCCAGTAATTAAGTTAATTGATTCCCCAGAAAATGAGTTTTCTTCATATTAGCCGGTGATAATTGATCATTTGTGAAAATATTATCCGTTCATTTCCCAAGTATAAATCGAACTATTGAATGCCTAAAATTAATGAGATACCGAATTATAACATTCAAGAAGTTTTGATGATAATTATGAGCCTTGTTGGTATTTTTTTGTTTACATAGGTTCATCATATCATGTGTAAATAATGCACAAAAAATCTACAACGTGTAAACCGGATTTTTTTTCTCGAAAAATTTGTTCAAGTGAAATAGATTTAAAGAAAAAAAAAGTGATAAACAATGCCCAATAAATTTATTCATCGTTTTTCATTCAACAAACGGCCGAGTTGAAGACAAAAATTAGAAGGATTTATTGCCACTGAAATATTTTCAATGTTTAGCACACTTTTTTCAGGAGAATTGCCAGTTTTTGCTATTTTCCTGCATGTCTTTCGCCATGATAGTTTCTAATTTATCTTTTATTTTTCAAGAAAATAATTTTATCAGTAAGTAGTTACTCAGCAGTAATCGAAGAGGTAGAAGACTGACATACCGATAGTATCAAAGACCAGTTTCTGAATCTCTCTGTGACACTAGAGGCATTCTACAAAACGTCAATCGAACGGTATTTCAATGATTCAATTCAGACTTCTGACAGAAATTTATCTATTTTCTTCCATTAATAAATTCATAAAAAAGCAATGAACGGAATAAGTGCCTCAACCGAGACCCAGCAGAAGCAAAAGCGTTGTACAATCATGGCAGAGGTTAGATGATCAATAAAAACATGAACAATTACTGCTACTCCACAAGTAATAAGTCATTAATTTTTTTTGTATTCTAGATTCAACAGGTGGAGGACAGCTTGAAGGACTCTTTGCACAGAGTCCAAGTAATCGAGAGAAAATTAGAAACCCGACTGTTGACAAGTGAGAGTCGAGAGAGACTGGAACGAGAACTCGAACTCGTAAAGGAAGTCTTGAAAAAAAATCAAGAACAATTGCTTTATCTCAGGAAGCAAAATACGAAGTCCTTCATGGTTGCTGCAGCAATTGCCTTCGCTTGCTTTCTAGTGTATGGACTCTACCTTCTCGTTACTAATACAAGGTGATGAGTAATTGTATCCGAACAATTCTAAGAAATATCTTTTAGTACATTCCGGGTAGAGATAGGGATATAGTAAATAATGGACCAATATTGACACTCAATCTGACATTATATCAACTTTAAGTATTCAATAAACTTTAGTATTTTCTTTATAAACTTTTGATGATTTTAATGCACGTCATGTTTCTTCTCTTTATTTGCTCTGGACAAGCAAGTCGTATTGTGGACTTCCAGCTAGACGACTTCTCATGTATTTTTCGTGGATTTCTGGCTGCAAGTAGCTGACTTTGACCCCTGGATCTTCTTTCATTGCCGATTTCCACTGAAGCTGAAGGTTAAAATACAAAACAATATTTTTCATTGTGCTGACAATAGTTATTAGCACATTATCAATGTTTTTTATCTAAAAAAATAACTAAATATCTTTTGCTTTTAATTAAATTGATTGCAACTAAACGATCTCGTCGAATAAATATGGAAATCCCCTAGTCTCTGATACAATAATCAAAAATTAAATGGAATATCAAATTATCTCCAGAATTATTAATTTTAGGAGAGAATGTCAAATAATCTTTTTTGTTGGAAATTTAAGTGGCTAGAAAAAAACTTTTTGACGTTTTTGCGTTGAATTGATAGTTTCCGAGATAAATCGATAGAATACATGATTAACTGACCAGTCTGAGAAAACGTTCACGCGGGATGGCATATTGCTCGCCTCTGAGAATTCTGATGAGATCAGCTCTCTCACACCATGGCCAGATCATCAGGTCCAGCATTCCAGGCTTATTCCCACCAAAGAAGGGGGTCCCCCGTTTCCCCAGTTCTCTGTCAAATATTTCTAATCCCTTCAAGACTTCCTCGAACGCGTCTCGATCAACAGAAGTCTCAAAGTGCAGCTGAAATCAATGAAATTCAATTCATAATTTCCAAATGGCCTTCCATTTGACTCATTTTAAAATTAATTAACACGCCTTATTGTAACATTAATGAAAGCTCTCGCAGATTTTTCGAATCATTTTTTAATCTCAATGAATACAAAACGAATAATGAAGACAAGAGTAAATGGCATTAGTAAAATACCTTGTACATCAGAGTTATAACACCGTTGAATCTCTCGATCAACAGCTTGTCCTTAGCTTTCAGAAGAGGATCGTCTGGGTACAGATTACCCTGGCTAAAAGCCTCATTCAGATAATCAGCGATTATCAGACTCTCGTACAAAACTTCGCCTTCAGGAAACTCAATGCATGGCACTTTCCCCAGAGGACTCTTCTCCAGGTACCAGTCCGGCTTGTTACCCAAATTTATAAATACCACATCGTATCTGCGGTATTCAGTATAATATTCTATTTAAAATAGTCACTCAAGAAATCCCTTCATGAAATCTGTACTAAAGCGGTAAAATACGACAAGTTCAACTAGGATTTTTCGAAATATCTCTGAAACTAAAAAGCATAGCGAATTTTTTGTAATGACCTTTTACCTAGATCAGGATAAGGCCTAGAAAATGGATCTTATCGAAAAATTCGTTATCGCCCCTCATTTCGGAGATATTCCCAAAAAATCAGGGAATAAGTGGAATAATTCCTCTAGTTTTACCAATTCTGTACAGGAATAATCAACTATAAATCCACAAATAACTTTCTCTTGATAAATAAATAATTAAAAAGACTGTTCAAATAAATAATTTAAATGCTGATCAGTAAAAGACGTTTTGAATACTACTCTACTGAAGAATTCGTCTCCAAAATAATCCCCTTCAATACAAAAAAAATGTATAATTAATCCTTGAACTCACGGAATGTTTTTTTGATCCAAGACCAAATGAACCCTCTGGGCATAAGGGCAAAATCTCATGCTGTAAAGACGTAGTTTTCCAGACTGGAAAGGCGGAACCTCACTTCCTAAAAACGTGAATAAATGTGAATAATATTATTAAACAGCGATATCTCTAATATAAAAAGAATAACGAAATTATACCCTTTGTCAAATGAGACGAGTTCATGATACGAAAATTTATTTATTTTCTGTTGGAATTCAGAACGCCGGTATTAGCCGGTATGTCTTATTTGGACGTCTTGTAACCAGCAAATGATTCCAAATAACGTACAGAACCCGATGCTAACGATTTTTCTACACCCAGTGATTTCTCTCCTGAATGTTGATCTGTTACTAAACTGTAGTTCAATGACAACTTTCTATCGTTCAGTATATTTCAAAGTGTTTTCCATATACGTGTGTGCGACCTTGTGTAAACATGCCAATGACTTTCTGACGCTTTCGGTGGCGATTATTAATCAAGAGATAATTACTGCTGGTAAGACTGACGCGGGTTGTATCGATCGAGGATAACTACAATCATCAATTTCTCTATTATCTCTGAATGCAACAATATGCACAGTAGTTCGACCACGTATTTAGGCAGCCCAATTTTTTTCGTCGAATTTATAACAATCGTAAAAAATGAGTTAATTTCATTTTCTTTTGCATTTTATTTATTTGCAATCTGTAGCCTTTTCGATTAGGAAAACAATTTAAATTCTTCGATTCAATTTCAAAAATATTTTAATAACTATTTTAAGAAATTGTTATAGAAATAATAATGAATAATTATTATTTCTATAACTTAATTTTTTATAACAATTTCTTAAAATAATTATTAAAATATTTTTGAAATTGAATCGAAGAATTTAAATTGTCTTCCTAATCGAAAAGGCTCTTGGCTAATTTTATCATATTTGAGATTGAAACGAAAAATAAGAAAAACATGTGTTGATAACTTGTGAAGTGACTCTTATCTCCCCATTATTGAGTAACTCGAGAAAAGATCTTATCGAGTTAGAATTCACATAAAGATTCAACCCCCAGAGAAAGACGGTTTTTCTCCCATGTCTGAACGTCGACGTGACATAAATTTGTTTCTGGTGAATGCATTTGATAACTTGTCCGTCAAACCCTCCGTTTCGCTCTTATCCCCCATTGTCATTTATTCTCCTTGGACAACTTCCATACGGTTTAGAGGGGATGATACCAGGGAATAACGAGAAGTACATTATAAATGTCAATCCTCTACAGATTAAAGTTGATATTATGGGGGAATATACTGGTAATTAGTCCAAAGTGACTCGTTTTATTTATCAACAAAGTTCTTCCCTCTGGAATTTAAATATTATTCTGAATTTTTTATTACAAACTCACGTATTTTATAAATTTTTGAACAATAAACCGGAAGAAATCAATATTATAAGTTCGTAGGGGTGGAGAGCGCTTTAAATTTTAGTCAATAATAATATTCCCCCTCAAAATATTACAATAATATTATAAAAATCTTATAAATATTAGAAATCGAGATATTACGATATCATTATATTTTTTTGAAAATGTGAAATTAAATAGATTTTATTATATATATATATATATATATATATATTATTGATTGATATTAAATTGAAAATATTACAAATGGAAGATTTATGATATATATGTATATGTTTCCTGCGCAGAGGTAATTATATTGGAAAAATATTGTTGCCCTTAATTATTTTTTATTCTAAGGGATATCCCTAAGTTTAGTCGATTGTTGGGATTTGCTTGCGCGAGCTTGGGATTTTAGAAATTAATTGGAAAAATAAACACCTCTTGCCATCACTCAATTTTTATTGTCCGCCAATCAATTTTACCTCAATTTTCATATTCCATTTATTTTCATAAACAGCTTATTGCACTTCTACATTAATTAAAATATCCATTCTCGCGATAGGATTAATTGGATTCCGCTCAGCAGTTTTCCAAAAGGTTTCCTCACACACATTCATAACCATCACACATACATTATATTCGCTGGTGTAGGTAACAAAGGGATAAATGATTCATCAATTCCCAGTATTTTTCAATTTACTCGAGAAAGTTGATAGAGGGTACAGTAATTTGGAAAATTCCTGTTGAAATTCTGAAAGTTGATTTGTGAATGATTAAATTCGAGATTAATTTTTGAAAAAGTTCTAGGAATTCAACAAATGTTGATTATTTTTCATAATTAAAATCTTCGTAGCTCTCAATGGCAAAATATCGGAAAAGTTTCAACTAGAATTTCTCCGTCAAGAATGCACCTGAACGGGGAATGAACTAGCTTTAATTTTCTGTTAGTTCCCAAAATAGTAGAAATCCCGAAATCTTTGTCGTTCCCATTTTTCACAAGGATAAATGTTTACAAAATTTTGAAGTATATACATATATCTTCCAAAATACGTACTTCTCCGACGTTTAAAAGAGAGTGAGAGAAAATATGGAGAGAAATAATCAAAAGATTACCCTGACGAATAGCAATCATGCCACAAAGAGGCAATTCATGAATTTTTATTAGAAGATGTTAATAGAAATTACGCAATCTTCAGTAAAAAAGATCTTCTTTTACAGTGAAAATTCCCAATTCCACTTTACTGCCCTCTCTTCACCTGTCAGGGTAATTTTCCAAATTTGTCCTTTCCTCCGCCCCATTTACCCCCACAAAAACCAAATCCTCCCCCGAATTTTCCCCTCAAATTATCCCCAAAAATCTCAAACACAACGCCACAAGCCATTAGAACAAAAATCATACAAAAAAATCTCAACTTAAACCCTGACAGAAATTTCTTTAAATCTCATCCGAACTAGAATCCAAAATTCCTCTCAAAAGCTCACCCTCCACCCTAACAGAAATTTCGTAAAACCCCATCTGAATTCGAATCGATAATTCCTCAAAATGGACTCAACATTCCAACACCTGATTTTATAAATTCCCCCATATCAACTGACTAATCCGCGCCATCTCCGAAATCCAAGAAATCCCGCAAAATTTCACATGACAACCCAAAAATCAAAAAATGTTTTTTCCATTTAATTTTTCGAGTGTAATTTCTAACAGTGTACACCAACAGCTTGATGTATGCAATTGTGGGGTTGGGTTGAGGGAGGGTGAGTAAAACTGAGTGAGAGGGTGGCAAAGGGATGAGGGGTATGTAAGGGGTATATGAGGGGTATGTGAGGGGTATGTGAGGGGTATGTGAGGGGTATGTGAGGGGTATGTGAGGGGTATCTGAGGGGAGAGTGAGGGGGAAGTAAGAGGAGAAGAGGTGGTAGAAAAAGGGGGTGAGATAGAGAGGGCGGAAGGAACAGCACCCTCGTGTCCCGATTGGTAGGAGAATCGATTAGCCTGGTATACGGTTTGTTGGCAAGTGTAACTGGGATGGCTTAAAGCTTTCTCAGGGGCCGCGAATTTCCCGAATGGAGGTTTCCCGCTGGGTCCCGCCCTGCTGAATGCACGACAACAACCCGCCGCTTCATCCCTCCCAACCTGGTGCCACCTCTTCTCCATGGCAACCCAACCCAATTCGCCAACCGCCGACGAGACTGACCTCTTCCCCTCAATCCCCTCAATCCCCTCATCCATTATTTCTCTCTCACTCCCACTCCTCACATCCAATCCCATGATCCAACTACTGTTACTGTCATCCCTCGTACCGAGGGTGAGGAGAGCCTGAAAATTTCACTTTTTTTCATCCCCCACCCAATCCCTACACACCCTTTTTTTTTTCTTTTCGCTAACCGCGGTTTCGAACACTGAATATTCCACCCAATACCATCACCAACTATTACGGTACACCCGCTCCAATCCTGTTCAACGCCAGTTAGTAAAGTAACTGAGGAAGATAAAACAAGTATACGAGAGCTTTTCAATTGTACACACACGCGCACACTCTGAGGGCACATTGATTTTGCCGACGACTGATACAACCCCGTCGGCTCGTTTAATTAGAAACATGGCGACTTTAATACAAGCGCACAACACAGAAAACAACAATGGTATTCACCGTTTTTTATCCAGAAGATTTCTTGAAGGTTTTTTTGTTTTTTTTTTATTTATCAACACTGAGAAAATAAATTTCTACCGTCAAATTCATTTTATTTTCTCCCCACCAGTAAATCTGGCAATCACTGTGTAGATACTGCTATAAGATTTCATAATGCCAAATATATTTTCTTGTGGTTAGTAAATATTCTTGGGAAAAGAAATTTTTTCTCTCAGTGCACAAGAGTTTCTTCACTCTCGCAGAAATATCGATTTATCGATTAATTATGATTCACCCACCACTAATCTCTCTTGATTAAAATAACATTTGTTTAAATTCTGCTGTTGATGACGATCTCGTTCGTTTCTCATAATTAATGTTTATTGTTAAGACTAGATGCCCATCCTATGTTCGCATAAACTACACATGAAAACACTCTATCTACATTTAATCTGTCGTACGGCACTATTTTTACGATCTTATGTCTTCTGAATGCTCTTAGGATATTAAATCTTATTTTCATTTATTATGATACATTACGCTGTATTTAGGTCTAGGGCTGGTTGACAGAGGTACAATTTTAGATTTATTATTTATTCATCTGATTATGCTTGGGGTGAGGGGGATCAAGGACACGGCAGATGATATTATATTTACAAATCTGCCTTGCACCTTATCATTTAATAATAAACTTAGATTTTTCAGCTGTGATACCCCGAACTATTACAAATTCAAACGATAATAAAATATTCAAGAACAAAATAACAATATTAAAGATAATACCCCTCTCCGATTAATCACCAGATCCTTCAAATAATACAAATATTCATCGAATGCTGAGCAAATTAATTGTACAATTAACTCATCGTACCTCACCCCCACCATTTCTGTCATTCAATTTTCCACTATAAATACATAACAATTAATTTGAAAGTACCTCGTATAATACACGCATTATTTATAATTCGAATGTTCCTGCAATGATCGATCAATCAGAACTGAGTATTAATATATTCCTTCACGATTCGCTGACTAAAATCAATTGAAATTCGTTATTTTTATAAAAATCCAAATGGTTAACTTAGGATCGTATTCACGTCATTCATTATATACAATTGTTTATTATTACAATCCACGATGGATTAGTAGTGAAAGTCCTAAAAGACGGTAGGACAATACCTGAAATCTCTCTGATTATCAACCAGACGTTTGATGTACAATAATGGATGGACAATCAGTGACAATTCAGGGTAGACAACAAACAGCTATTGTCCCATTTTATTTCTATTCTCCAGGAATGTTTTCTCGACTTTTGAGGAAACCGGAAACTGCCTACGAGAGCCATGCACAAACATTCAGTCAGTAGATATTTACTTTCATACATATCAGTGATTCACAACAAATAACTTAATAAAACAGAGTTTATAATACACACATTATTTATAATCGATGAAATAATTACTCATGATCATTAGAACGATTGAATAAAGCTCAATAGAACAGAAAAAAAAATGGCCATTCACCGGAGCAATTATAATAATAATTTATTTACAAATGCCCCCTGAGTGATTGATCGGGACATTTTAAATCACTCGAGTTATTCCATTGAACTTTTATCTCTGGAGATATTGTCTTTGGTGATAAAACTCTGGGAAACACAGACAGTCAAAATTTGTGTGTTAAATATGTTTTAAATGATTTATATGGCACACGATTCAATTATGGCACTGCTCGGGGAGGACACACAAGGATTAATAAACTCCTAGCAGTTGTATCCGTGTATTTTGTTCCAATTTCCGTGCCCCGTGGATGATGAGGAAATATTTTGAAATATCTTGGTAATTAAAGTGGTAGAAAAGACATAAATCCCCAATGATTTTTCACTGTTTCTTGATGGTATGTGTGAGTATCTAGATGGAATGTTGAATTTATTCTCAACGTGGTGTTCCCAGTGCGCCCCAATGCTCAGGGGTGGGTCATGCATAGTGGGGATAAGTGCCAAGATGTGGTGGCACGTGTCCTGATGCTGTGTGGTGTCCCGCGTAGAGATTTGCACCAGGACTTGACCAGTAACTCGATGCTGACTGAAAAAGTCCACCTGGTACTGATACTGATACTGATGCTGCTGGTGGTGGCATTAAATTGAGCTTGGCATGACCATAACCCGACATGAACAGCTCACTCTGGTACTTGTAAGCTGCTGGATCAGCTGCTGCTGGTTGAGTCGCTGCTGCAAGACCCTGAAAGTCGAATTTGTACGCGTACCTCTTGCCATGCACCTTTGTCATTATATTTTTGTCGTAGTAGTACCTGAAAGTCAAATTATTCAACCTTTAATTCAACATCACCACACACCCAACGTGAAAGAGAGTCTTCTGTCACAGATTATTAATCTGTAAAATTATAATGTTTAGAAATTACTCCTGACATTTCATAATATATAATACCTTAAAATGTTTAAAGATCTTCTGCCGGTATAATCAAAACAAATGTTTATGACCATTTTTATAAATCGTTATATTTACCGTAATTAATTTTCAATTAATATTTAAATTCGTTAATTACTTGGAGTAATGGCCATAGAAAATTATTATATTGTGTTTGATATTGTTTAAACGAATTAATGAAAAAGGAATTTAATCAATCGTCATGAAATTGTTATCATTGTTTTAGTGGAAAAAATAGTGGAATTTGATTTCACAATTGTCGATGAATAAATCGAGAGCCGAGATAATTCCGTGATTGACTTTCCATGGGATCCAGTGGACAGTCATTGATTATTCACCTCAAAATGGCAGAAATGTTCTACTCTTCTAGTTACTCAAACCCATCAGAAAGAGCAATACACGAAATCCGATTCCATATATGACCTCAACCCAAAAGTGATGAGGGGAAATACGAAATGAGAGTTGATGACAGAGATCGAATGAGCCTCAAAACTGATAGAAGGCACGACGGGTGGGTAATCCAATCGGGGAAACTGATTGAAAAATAATAGCCGGCAAACCGGCTACCCCCACCTCCCACATTCATCGAATACGGTCAAACAATTTTCCCAAAAGGTGTAGTAGTATTCTGTGATTGGAATCCCACCCTCATTCACCCCAACAGTCCACGGAGTAGTCTGTCGACAGTTTATTTCTCAAATGAGTCCGGAGATATCTTGTGACGAAAAAGAATTGCTTTAGTCATCTCCTCGTTCGGTCTATCATTTTTGAAATTTCGAGCAAATGCAAATTTTACGGAATGTTCGAGCAAATTCGAGCAAATGCAAATTTTACGGAATGTTCGAGACTTTTTTCGATTAGACAATCTGGAGGAACTGCAATTTTCGATTTGTAATATTATAATTTATTATTTATATTATTTTTAATATTATAATTTAAGTCCTTGGAGATTTGTGGGAAGTCAAGAAAATTCGGGAGAACCTGTTATTGAATTCTATAATTCTAATGTGGTTGTGAATATTGATTTTTATGTGATAATTTATGTAATTATTTTTAATTTCATGAAATATCTGATCTGTTTACCGTTCCATGAAGAAAGAATGTGGTTTATTTTATAGAAAAGAAAATTACTCGAGTAATTCCCCAAACATTGAAGAAAGATTAAAAAATCCAAAAAGTCTCATTAAATTCCCGGAATTCCCGGGGAATTTTGGAGTGAATATTCATTCATTCCATTTAATTCTTCATTTACCCGTTCACTACGTCACGGATTGAGTGGTAAAAACTGCTTTGCGCTTAAAAAATCACAACAGTATGAAATTCCAGGTATTCCGTCACTAATTTATTATTCCGAACACAAAAAATCTAAAATCCATGAACTTTCTCATTAAATTAATTTGAAGAATTCTTTTCGAAGAATTCAGTAATTATTTGATAATGATTTGTGGATGACCTTGGAGCACTTACCTTAAGGCCCTTGACAATTTATCGTAATTCATATTGGGTTTGGATTTTCTTTCGCCCCAGCGTCGTGCCACTTCGTCTGGATCCGTCAGCTTAAATTCACCGTTGGTTCCCTCCCACGTAATGCACGCAGCATTACTCGAGTCAGACAATAATTCCAGTAAAAATTGCCAAAGCTGTATCTGTCCAGATCCGGAACTAGCGAGTCTACTGCTGGTCGCGCCAAACATCTGATATGGATCTGAAAAAAAAAATGGAAAATTTCGGAAAATGTAGTGAACCCATCTATCCACGAGCAGAAATGATTGTTTATATTAAATAGAATTTAAAACAATCGACAATATTTTTGAAGTAACTATTTGATTAATTCAATTCATCGGTTCTTAACAAATATGTAGTAAAAACAAATAAATATACTCTCAATGATAATTATATAAAATCGAAAGCAGAAAAATGAATTGTTTAATTCTATTACATCAAACTTTCTCATTTCTAATTTATTTATTACAATTTATTCATTATTTTACAATTTATTCATTAATTTACAATCGAACTTCAATTTTCAATTAGTTGTACCAAATAAATTTATTTAATTGAATATTTAGCACTCGCAATCACATGCGTACCCGACTATTAATTAATTTGAGTTGTTACTCTCAACCCAATTTTTAAAAAATTCACTACATTTTTTTCTCAATCTATTTGCCCTTTTTTTTCTCTCACACCCATTTCTTCCACCCCCTTGAGAGCTTTACAATGCGTCATCAGTACCGCTTACTACCGCTCAGTCATCGAGGGCTCTACACAGTATTTCATACAAAGGATATAATCGCAACCCCACAATGGACTAGAGGAGTTCGTTTGGATCATAATAATTTCAATTGAAACAGAGAAACGAAAACGAGTGAAAGTACTCGCAATCATGTTACAATCAATTCCACTCAGTCCCACGGGGAGGGAAATTTTACAATAAAATTTACCCCAGTGGCAATTCATGAACACTACATTACGTACCCATTACCCTAATTCTTATCTCGAAAAAAATATATTCAGTTCTGTGACGTTACCACTGCATTTCTATCGGTCTATTAAAAAAAGATCTTCGATTTGAAAAGCGCGGACTTGAAATTCCCTTGTATGAGTACTTCTGGGAAATACTTCGACTCAATTTCTTCGGGGGTTGAAAATGACTGCAAGTCACGGAAACCGTGTCATAACTCTTGCCCTTTTACCCGAGTGTCCAGGCCGATGGTATCTGAATTCCTGGAAGGAATCGTAATGGCACCCCATGAAAAATCGTGTACAGATGAGAACAACAAATAAAAACTAGCCGATTGTTTCCGAATTGTTCGGAGTTAAAGATGTTTTGCTGGTATTTTGTTATTTTTTCTGTTTTTTTGAGATTTATTGAAAACTATCGATCGGATTGGGATATGAAAATATATGAAAATATATAAAAATATTGACTCTTTCATAATGTTTCATCCTGATACTAATTGTTGTAACTTTTCACGAAAATTTAATAAGAAATCAATAAATTGTACTGAAAAGTTATAAAAATTGGTGTATCGGGATGAAACTTTATAAAAGAATAAATAATAATATAACGGACAAACGCTATATTTTCATATCCCAACCCGATGGATAGTTTTCAATAAATCTCAGAAAAATAGAAAAAATAACAAAATACCGGCTTAACATCTTTAAGTAATTAATCTCATTAACAATTGGCGAACCTGTAATAAATACGAAATACGCATAAATGATAATAAATACGCAACATATTGGGGCAGTTTAAAATATTGAAATGAGTGGATGAATGTATCATCTGCCGTTCAATTACCCGAATTGAATGGAGTAATTGTTTACATATAGAATATTGTATTGCAAGCTGCGTTGATCGACTGCCGATGGAATTGTAATTCAGTTACGAGGTAATAATACGAACTGGGAGGAGTCGTACTCCAGAGGGGAGTTGCGTATATCCATTTTTCTTTTGGATCGCTGCAGTAAATTCCATCGGGACTCATACATTTACACATTTCGTTCAATACAAGGAAATACATATGTACCATATGTATTTCCTTCCACTGGGGTTGCGTGGTTAACGACCAGGATAATCGCGGGGGTCAATTCCGAGCCATCGACGAGCTGTTGTGAATTTACTTCATGCATCAATGGAGTCTTCTATTCTTCTGTCACAACACATTACTTGAGCAGTAAAAAATTACTGGGATTTTACTTACCGGGCTGCCTGAGATGGGAATGGGTGTCCAGGGCGGACTTGGAGAGACCGCTCCCGTAACCTGTAATTGATAAACAATTAAATTAATTTAAAATAAAAAGTTTATGCCTGTTGGAGTCGATTAAGGAGGGATTTAATGCGCGGTCTACGCGCGCAGCATTCAAAATTCCCGCTGCCAATTATGTCGACCAATGAGGAATCAATATTATTGGAGCGAACTTCACGTGTGTTTATACTCTTAATATAAATAAATAAATAAAAATTGAACTTTATTCGCAGCTTTAATTTCGTTGGTTATAAAATGATTTAACAATTGTTGCCTTCTTCAGGACCATTAATTAATTATTAATACGAAATTCTTTATTACATTTGCACTAATTCTCATAAAAAGAACAATCATCATCTACGTGTAACAATAAAATAAATTGAAAATTCTGTAGAATATAAACTTAACAGCCACTTGTCATGACAGTTGATTCGTTTTTGACAATTTCAACAGTGATTTAAATTTATGAATGTGTTTCATTATTCCATGTAAATAATTATTGTTTTTTATGGAAACTAGTGCGAATTCAGTAAAGAACTTCGTTTCAACATATTTAATTAACAACATTTGTATTGATAATAATTAAAATAACCTTGAATAACAATAGGATCGATATAATGAATTTAATAAGAAACTAGAGACTCACAGAAGATAAATAACTAGAAAAAACTTTGCGTTCGAACTTTCTGAATTTCATTTCATCAGAATACTCCCCCCAAGATAAAGTAGAAACTACAAATCCGTGTTTATACAGGTTATATTTTATTGTACCCCTTGACGAGAGGTCAAACAAGCCATGCCCATCGTTACAGGATTTTGAAAATGCTAGTTTGTGCCTCAATAGAAATCAGAATGGAGTCCAGAGTGACGATGGGTACCAGAGATAAAGTGAGATCAGTGAACCGTTAGAATCGGTTAGAGAGGATTTTCGTGTAGGCAAACACGTCGTCGATCAGTTCTCGGTTACTATATACGTTCCACCCTTCTCACCGCCCCTCAGAATCGAATTTCATCGGAGCAATTGCCCCAAGGATCGATTCCCAAACAGACAAATCCCAAATTTTGAATTTTTTTTTTCATTTCATCAATCGATGGGTCAAGGGGACAGGGGATTTCTCTGGTCACGTACAGCCCGTCACGATGCAGAGAGTGGGAAAATGTGTTTCGGGGCTCACAATGGCCCTTAATTTCGCACCGTTGTGTTTCCCATTTGAGGTCAAAGCGTCTCGATTCGACCGTCGGAGAATCGACTGAAGTAATCATGATCAGCCCGAGCGATCATAACTTTATCAATTACTGGTACATTCACTGGATCAACCATTGAAAGCTAATAACCCCGACACAATGAAACCATTCCCGAAAGATAAAGCGTAAAGAAAAAAATCGTTTGACGTTATTAAATAGCCAGATATCTTTGATGTCAAGATATTCCTAGAGGATTCCACCATTTTCCATTTGACGTTTGACAACAAATACGGGACACGATACGGGACATTCGACTGTGAAAAAGTTGCTGGTAGTTCTGAGAGCCTCTGGATGGGCGAGAGGGTGATAACCACCCCCTTCCACCCACTCCCACCCCCCCAATCACTCTTTTCATGTGCAATACTTTCACTGGCTCTTTTTCACTCCCATTCACCTTCCCTTTATTTTTATTCTTCTCTCCTATTTGGTTCTTTCTCTAGTCTTCTTTTTGACAGAGTAGCAAGTATTATGGACGAGGGCGTCTGAAGAGTGGTGCGACAGCTCGGGATGGCGGATCCTTTGATCCTCCCTTGGTTTTCAATGCTACGTACGTCAAAAAAATCCGAGAAAAGGAGAAAAATGTATAAAGACCACTAGAGGGTTGTTTCGTGTACGTGTGGTGCGAACGTAACGGGATTATCCCCTACCCCTGGGATAGGTAATTGCTTGTGAATGCGCTGATACGCGTCTCAAAATGGCTCCAGTGTTGGGGAACAACGTCAAAAGCTTTTTGATGATGGAGGTTGGAGTGTTTGGATGCAGTGGGTGTTTTTCAAACTAAAGGGTCATGCTTGTTTCGTCGGACTAGTGATCTGGTGTTGCCCTCGGGCGAGACTGATTGCGGATCCTCTAGGTTGCCCCCAGGTTTCTACCAATCATCCCGGGAATGCAATTGTTTAACACCACATGCCACTTGATCGGCATCTGGATTTTTCTGTGAGTCATTTGTGGGGCTAATTTGGGGGATCTATCGTTTTTTTTGGGGGGGATTGATTGGAATGGGGGAAATGAGCGCAATAACCCCTCAAGACCCATATCAGACTCACTATCAATGAAGTTGGAAAATGTCCGGAAATCCTGGAAATTTTACATTTTAAAAACCCGAAACAAAATTCGGGGTTTCGTTGAATAATTGAATCGGAATTGAATTTTGTCATTGAATCAGTCAGTTATCAGTGAATATCTCGGAAATTATGAGAGACAGAAAAATTTTCATTGATCCCTTTTTTGCAGATCGATATGTGGACTAAAAAAAAGATACATGTCAAAATTTTCGTATGTCCCCTCATTTGGAAGATATTAATTAACAATTGAAATTGAGTTCATTAAAGACTTGGGTTTATCTGTTCATAGGAGAATTATTCGTCGCATTTCAGAACGAGTAAGGTTGGTATTAAATTACTAGTTATTTTATTTACTCAGTTTACTTCAATGTACGTAACGATTAACCGAGAGTAAAAATCACTGTACGATTGCTAGGGAGATTTATAGAAAAGACAAGCAGACAGAGGGTTGAGGGCAAGTGGTGGTCACGCACTCTAAACCCCCTGATCTATCGTTTGACCTGCAGACTTCCTCAAGTCCATGCGGTGGGAATGCAGCACGCGAGGTTAACCAGCCAACCCCTCATGCATATTGCCCCAACACCGGTCACTCGTGATTTCCAATGCGGAACAACTTTCAACAATCTCCACCATCTTTCGGTCATTGGGTAAAATCATAATCATCGTAATCATCATAATCATTTGAATAAAATGCATAATCTGGGAATCTTGATGATTACCAAGTCCCTGATTATCTAGGGATATTAAAGTTGTTGTAGCGCGACAATCTCTCGAAAATATTTGGACGATGTAAAAACAATCATTTTGAAAATAAACAGTAGTATAGAGAAAGCTCAAACAGAAAGGGGTAATTTTG